GTGTAGGGTATCTAGCCTGGCAAATACTACTGAAAACCAGAGCAGGTAAACAATAATTCCTTGTATAAGCTTTGTATAGCTTGAAGTCACTGTACACATTCAGTTTGAAGCCACGGGATTTTTGGTTGATTTGTTAGAGTGCATCTCAGGGAGGTGAGCTCACCGCATGCCGGTGTCGGTCTAGGGCTGAGGGGGAGGGTGGGAATGCTCTGGCTGCCCCACTGCGACCCACATGCAGGCCAACACAAGCTGGCGACCCCACGCCAGGAATACAAAAGTTACCCACATTGCAACCTTGGTTGCTTCTCGAAGGCACGTGACCACACAATGACAGCACAGTGGCTGCAAAATACCAGAGGAATTAGCTACTTTGCTAGGGTTGTGTCCACATCTGCACCAGACAGTGCAGCCGTGTTTCAGATACTGAAGACTCCTGTGACAGAAAAAGGCTCGAAAGGGAATGCACTTTATCTGTTTCTCACAGTGTCTCACAGAAGTTCCCTATGCAAGGTCACATCTGACCGGTTATTATTAGCTGCCCTTTTTTTTTCCTCCTCCTCTCTCTAGAGATCTCTACAGAAGAGGAAAACAGGAGCTGCTATCCAAATATTCACCGCCCTCTTAGTGAATCGACAAGTGGGCAAGCTTCACATGGGACATCAGATGGAGAATGGTCTATTCCACGCCATCCCAACAGACAAGCCTACAGGAGAACTGCAGTGATTATACATATCAACAGCGGTTACGTATAAAGCTCATTGATGGCCTCCATGGATTGTGTATGCCTTCTCTGGGGGCAAAAAAAACCCTCAAACACTTCACCCATCCTTCTTATCAATGAAGAATAATCACAACAGAAACTGGGATCTTTGCTCATCACCTCAACATCTCTCAAGCACTAAGGATGTTCAACTTAAAAAATTATTTAGTTAGAGGTTGTCAGACGCAAAGTGTCATCCAAGCAAAACCACAAAAGTAAATTCAAAACCAGATGAAAGCACAAAGCTTTCCTCCTCAGTATGCAAAGGTACTTCAATCCGAAACACATCATACGTGTAAAACCAGCGACGTGCGTCACACTTTTGCATCAGTGAAGCAGCTTATGCGTTTGCCCAAAATAACAGACAAACAACCTGAAGTCCGAGAGACTACCTGAGAAATCCCAACCCCGCTGCAACTGCTGATAAAAACTTCTGGTGCAGTTAATGATGAAGTTTAAAGCAACAGCTCAAATTTTAGTTGACGAGTACAACTGGCAAGGTATCAAGCAGAACAGTGGCAAAGGTTGCCTCAGAGAACAGCTGGCACAGCCTGCCCGGACCTCAGACCATAGAAGACACACGTATAATACACCAACAATGCCACCGTCGCTACACCCCGAAGCCGAGCAGAACGAACTTACAATTTTGCATAGAAGTCACAAAACTCTTTGTAGAGTTTTATGTCACTGTGCCTACGTTGTAATTTTGACACGGGTTTTTCGCCTTCGTTTCCTGCCGAGTTGTGGGCATTGGGAGCGACCTTGTGCGCGACCGCTTCATCCTCCGGGATGGGGTAAGGGCGAGCTCTGTGCTGGAAGTCCATCTCTCCCTAACTGCTTTCCTGGGTGTACAGATTCTGGTCTTACACTGCAAAGAAGCTGTAGGCAAAGCCTGAAACACAATGCACTGGACTTCCCCTTGCTCCCAGCACTTTCCCAGCTCCGTGTCATGTAGCCGGAGCGGCTCAGCGCCCTGCTCGAGCTTCAAGTTAAAAGTTCAGCGGTGGGGCGGCGAGCCCGTCACGCTGTGATTTACTGGCGCTGGCTGCCAGCGGAGGAGCACATTCCCCTGCCAGGCCCTCGTGCAAACTCGGATGCTGGAAAGGGGCTTCGCTGCCGGCTGCTGCTAGAAGCTGCCCAGGAGAACTGCGGTGTGAGTAACCTACGTGAGCGAACACCGTCACTGTCAACTTGTCTGCAGTTCCTTTCTGCTGGGAGAGGTGGAGGTGGATCGCAACAATTTTATCGTGGGCAAGCCAGCAGTGGAAAGCACGAAGAGAAGAATTCTACCATTAGGTAAATACTGTTTTGATGCTACAGTGTATTAATTACATTTTTTAAATGGCCTTTAATGTTCCACTTGTGTCTTCTAAGTCGTATGTGCTGAATTCATCTACAGGCATCTTCCTGTCGGCACTTCAGAGAAGGGGTAAGTACAGACAGACAGCGCGGTTTCAGTTGTGCTTCACAGGCCACTAACCGACCTGCCAGATATGCTAGAACGGGCAGCACACGAAGGAGGAAAAACAAAGCTTGGTTTCCAGCGATGTGCTGCGTTTAGAACAATTATCTAACGTCAGAACACTTAACTGAAGTAATTTACTGTGGATATTAGGGAACTGAGAGAGCAAGACCAGGAAAAAAGGAGTAAAATTAATCATTCCTTCACCGCAGAATGCCCTCCTCATGCTGCAATTATTTCATGGTTATGCTCTATTTAAAAAACCCTCTGTGTGCCACTTACTAGGGAAGGCTGGGTCGATGAGCTACAGATCTGCAGCGGGTAATTACGCCCCTGCACGCCCTCCCTGCTTGTGGCAGACGTGGGACAACTGACTTCCAGCAACTCGTACCTGCAGACACAGGGGGGTTTGGGGAAGCTGTCCCCAGTAACTCTCACGCGCTGAAGTGACTCAGCCCGTGTCAGCAATCGACAGAACTGCAACACCGCGTGAACTCTGTGCTCATGACACACGGCATCTTGGTATCCGAAGAATCTGACAGCCCACGAGGGAGCATAGGAAGGCAGAGGGGGGCAGGAAGACTAGAGGGAACAAGTACAGAAATGAGGAATAGAAAACAACACAGGATATGACGGAAAAGTCCAGTCAAGGCTACTACTTCTTAATATGCCTTCACCTTTCCGGGACCTGTGGCAGATGGTCTGTTGTCTGGCGGTTTTGGGCCCAATCTCTCACCACTAGCTGGGTCAGCTTGCTCGGTGAGCGTAGGGCAGTGGAGACGCCACTCTGCGCAGGCCTGGGCTCGCATGCAGCCATCTTCCTGCAGCCTGGCCGACACCACACTGCGTGTCTGCTGCTGCACAGCCAAACCAAACGGGACAAATTTCTGGGATGGGTTGGGTCAGGTTTCCTGCACCTCCCCTCGTCGGGAAGCAACCTCTGGGCAAGCTGTTCTCCTGTGCCACAGCACATCACGGTAGGTGGGACCCAGGCAGCACGACCCTGTTAATTTACCCGTCCATCGGTGTGACTATCCGTCTTGCACCCGAGCTACCGGGAATCACAAGCTGTGACAGGCTAAGGAGGTTGCACCTTCACCACTTACACAGCTTGGGTGGAGCTCAAGCCCTATTTTTATCCATCATGGAGCAAGCTTCAGATCAAGCAATGCTCAGGTTGTAGCCCTAGGCCACGATGATCTTGCCAGAGCACGGCTGCAGGAAACGGCACTGGAAGTAAAGATTTCTATGTCCCCTGGAGCACCAGCGAGGGAAACGAGTGCTGTTTGCTAACGGAGATGTGAGCATGCTCTTCTTCTCCATCCTGCTTCCCAACATTTCCTGCACAGGTCAGTGCTGGGGTTCTGTGGGTATGAAAAACTGCAGGGAGACTGACTGCAATGGACTAACCACGCTGATTCATCCAGGATTACTACAGGTGCACCATGACACTAAGATAAGAAACAGTAAGCCAGTCTGTCCCTTCCCCTTATCACTGATGTCTCCTCAATTGTTTTCTTGTATTTTGTCCCAGAGGCAGGCAATTCTCTTGGGAGGCCACTGCTGCAAATCAGAGACCCCACGAACTGTTTCTTTCTCCCAGCGTGGACTACTTCAGTCCTTGCAGTAACCTGAAATCCACAGGCTACCAAGGTGGCTGGAAAGCATCTCTGCTGCTTTAGGTCTTCGGTGGTCCACGGGAAAATACCCACCCAGCTACCTGCTTTTTGGCTCGCTACTGCGTAGCCTTTTGCCCAGCTGCAGCAAACCAAGTGGCACAGCAAGTCAGTGCAGTAAGATGTCCACCCAAAAAGCCTGTTTCAACCTTCCTAGCTTCTTTGAAGAAGCAGTCCAACAAGGTACTAGGACTTTGTATGTACAGCAAGTAGAAGCTGCCTGGTTCTTGAGGCTTGTTGCCATTGCTGCTGGGGGCATTACTCCCAATTTGTTCTCCGTTAAGCAAGAAAGGAGCTTGCCAGGAGTTCAAAAAAGACCTTTCTCCTACTGAAGCAAAACGTAGTTTCTACTGTGAAGGTCTGGTAGTCCACAAATCCAGAGCAGCTGGCTGTCTTTTCTGTCCTTTTGCTGGAGGCGTGCTGCCAAGACCTGAAATACGCTGTTAAAAATACACGGCGTTTTCATTAGGGGATTCTAGGTTACTCCGAGATGAAGCCGTCCACAGGGAGCAAGAAGCATGTAAGGAGTTACTGGTTTGCAGCAGCAGCTTCCCCTGGGATCTGAGACAAAACCTACCAGCCTGCTGTTAAGGAAGCAGGGGTAAGAAGAAAAGGGAGAAGTTGAGTATTTAACTGGAAAAGGTACGTGGGAAGGAAGAAGACAGAGAGGCTCTTCCTGGCACACTGAGGAGCTTATCAGAAGCCAAAGCTGACAGCAGGGAAGGTGCTAAAGGAAACGGCAGGAGAAGGGAAGCGTTCCATCGTGGCTAGGAAGAAGGGCTTTGGAAAACAACAGCAAAAAATAGCCGCAAAAACGTCCGCTGACGGACAACTGCCTCCATGCTCACACGCTGCTTTCTCTGGAGAGCCTTCAAACCCGGCCGCCTGTGCCGGTGGCTGCCGGAACGGAGGCAGACGGGGACTCTTACAGAGAAGGCTCGGTGGCCGGCCAGCCCCACTGAGAGTCTCCCCCCACGCCACAAATAGATGTGCCGAGCAGTCACGGCTCCAAACAAGGCGCTTGGCAAAAGCAGATGCTGCTTGGCAACCTGCTCCTGCCACCGCGAAATATCACTGCGTCACCGGCGCTGTCGGGAGGCCACGTGCCCCACCGGGCTATGCAGGGAGCGATGGGATAAATAATCGCAGCGCATCCCTCCTCCCCTTCCCGAGTGAGTAAGGGTGACTTCATTTTAACTGTGTTTAACGCAGATGCTGCGCGACGGCCCTCACAGGCAAAAACCAGAGCGACTGGAACAGAGGTTTTGCTGCAAAATGCACGCGAACTTGCAGTGCCCTGCACTGATTTCGGCACCAACCTTTTAAAGCGCTGACTGACCCTTTGCATCTTTTTTTTAATTCAAATTATAAACACTCTTGGGTTCTGGTTGCTGCAGCTGTTTCTCTCTGAAGCAATAAAATACCTTCCGTGTAAAGCTGGTCTCCTAAGGCAATCTGAAGGAAGGAATAAATCTTTTCCATAATAAAGATGCACATTACGGATAGGATTTTCGTGTGTGCCCAGCACTGCTCTAACTTCTGTTTCTATTAAAAAGGATGGAAAACCATCTTGAAACCACTGCAATAAAAAACACGTGGATTTTGAGTGCTCCTAAAAGTTTCATCCTTCAGTCTTCACCACAAAAAGCATGATTAAGCTTATGTGGTGAGAGTTTAAACAGGACAAACAAAAAGGCAACTCTAGCTGCCTCATAAACTTCAATATAAATTTATTCTAGTATAAACATGTCCAAAAAATGCTTTGGTCTCTGCAAACAGAGAAGGTTCACATTCCATCTCTCCATAAGGAAACGAATGTAACTGGAATAAACAGGTAAGCAGTACCTTCCCACACAACATTTTATCAGCCACAGAAGCACAGTGAAAAATCAGTCTCTGACAGAATTCATAGAAAGGGAAAGCAATATTTAACTACAGTACTTTCCTATTGTAAGCAATATTTCAAAAAACTATTGTATTTTCTTCCTGCTGGTTACAAACGTTACCAAAGGAAGCCATGCTTCATGTTAAACAAGAAATTACTTCTTCTGTGTACAGATATTTGATCCTTTCTAAAACAGCCATCTCTTCCTCCCCCACTACTATTGTTTGAATCCTGTGCAGACAGGAGAAATAAAACACCAAAAAGACACAGTATCACACAGGAGAAGCTCACAGGAGCTCTAGCAAATGTGTGTTACGTGAGATAGAGCATCCTACTGGTTATTCTTAAAAAGTGCAGCCTCCGTGGCTGAATAATAGGATCATAGAATGGTTTGGGTTGGAAGGGACCTTAAAGACCATCCAGTTCCAACCCCCCTGCCATGGGCAGGGACACTTTCCATTAGACCAGGTTGCTCAAAGCCTCATCCAGCCTGGCCTTGAACACTTCCAGGGATGGGGCATCCACAGCTTCTCTGGGCAAAATATATTGACTGCATATATACTTCACTGTGGTAAATAAACTGTATCCAAACTCTTCCAACTCAACACATTTTGAAGATGCAATTGCATTAAAACATTTCACATAACAGCATTAATATTACCATTTCTAAATTAGGTACATTAAAAATGGTCAGCTACCCAATACTGGGGGATACACATGCTCTAAGAGACTCACTCTGAAAAGAACTGTCTTTTCAAGACTGATGAGCCAATATCAAGCCTACCAAGCTCAAAATTATCC